GTTTGAAACTACCGGTAGATTCTTTTTTTCTAAAAATCAATGCAGGCAGACATTTTTATTTTAATTTTAAGACTGTCATTATTCAAAATTGTGCTTTTATTTTGGAATCTTTATCTTTATTTTTTTTCTAAACTCTTGACAAAAAACCTTATTTTCAAATGAAGTATGTGAAAACCAGAAATACAAATTTCTGGGCATTTTTCTTCCTTTGACCCATTTAAAATCTTCCAAATCCTGAATGAAAGTATGGAATCATAAAATATAAAAATATAATCATAATTGTAAAGAAGCGAATATTACCTAAAAGTAGTGGCAATTCAATGAGCATGCAATACTAATAACCTTTTTACCACCAGAATTTCTCACCCAAATTTTTCTGCACTTTTTCATATACTTGAAGGCAAGTCAATTTTCAGTATTTACTCAGTTTTTAGTTTCCTTCAACCTTTTCACCACCAGACTTTTTTACTGAAATTTCGGCACTTTTTCCTTAGATTCTTCATTTTTTCTGGAAATGAGCCCTAATTTGAATCAACATCAGTTTTTACTCAAAAAATTAGGCTCTTTTTGCCCCAATCTTCTGAAAGAGAGTGCAGACTCGTAGAACTATTTTGTGAATTTGTGATGAAAATAGGGAACTGGTGTTCTAGTAGAACTAGTAGTCAGTGTTCACAAAAGAAAGAAAAAATGTGTCATATTCATGACAAATTGCAATATAATGGTTGGAAATGGTGACATACTCTGCTTTTTTCTCCATGATAGTAGAGGAATCCTTGTCATCTTCGTGTTCTGCCATGGACTTCAATATTTGACTCGCTGCCAACGCTGCTGCCATTGCATCACGTCCTTCCTCCCAGAATAGATTAGCCAATTCATGATGACTCAATAAAACTGACCACATGAACAGTTCACGCATTGGGTAATCAAATCGGTGCTCACGAGCCGCCACTAAGAAAGATAAATGAGGAACAAGGGAATAATATTTAGTATACATCACTTTGTAAAAATGTATTTTTTTTCAAAAATGTATCTGCACTCATTCTAACATTCAAACATCAAATTATTTATATCACATCCAAAGACTTGTTTTATGTTACTGGTACTTCAAGTGTTATAATCAGCAGGTTTTGTCCAGTCAACGTGACACCTCCTAAGAATAAAATCATTCTCACAACGTACAAAATTGTGTAATACACATATAAACCGGTTGAATATTTTGAATTAAATACCAAATGTTGTTAAAATATATTGTTTATAAGTGAAATCAGCCAAAGTATTCCCATGAAATGAGCCATACAAAAGTGTGGGATGAAAAATGGCCACCAGTCGGTCAAACATCATCAAAATGAAAAACAAGTTGACCTGCCTAGGTACATATCACAATGTCTTTTCTTTGCACTTACTTACAACAACAATCAGTCGAGCATGTTTAAGAAATGATTATGGACAAATGAAAATAAATGCAATATGGCTGCCTAAATCAATATGGCTGCCTAAAGCAATATGGCTGCCTAAATCAATATGGCTGCCTAAAGCAATATGGCTGCCTGTCGACCAGTTTGAATCAAATCACAAAATAAACTTGTGTGCATCAGTAACCCATCTTGTGTGATTTCCATACCAAGTTTGAATAAAATTGGCTCCAGGCATGCACATTTTTATGTACTTACAAATGTTTTGGTAATTTTGGACCAAATCTATAATTTCCCATTAACTGTAGGTCTTGGTCAAAATTTTGGGAAAAAATGGAAAAAAATCATGCTGTTTATTTTGTTAAAAATGATGAAAGTTGATTTTTATGTTTAAAACGTTGCTACAATTTGCACACATGAATGGACCTGATAAGTTTAGGTCATGTCACAATGACTCATTGGGTGTGAATGGCTCACTTTTTCAACACAAGATATTATTACAACAACATACCTGGGTTAGGAGCAGGAACAGCCTGCAAATCAGCAACACTGGCACGAACAGCATGATCAATTTCAGTCGGAACTCCGGCACCAGAATCGAAAGCTAAAGCTGATGGTTCAGCCCAACGTACAGTATCTGCTTTCAAGTCTTTCTCCGAAACCATGTATCTGTCTGGATCGTTTTTATCCAGATACAGAGGTTCATAAGTGTCGTCAGTCAAATTCTCCATCAAATGGCCAACATCTTCTAACGTGAACATGCGATTGCTCTAAAAGTGAATGGAAAAGAAATATTTAGGCTGATTTTCACTGATTCTACATGATTCTACTGATTCTACATGATTCTACTGATTCTACATGATTTCTTGCAATTCTCTAGCATGCTTAACTTTTTCACCATCAGACATTCTCGCACAAATTTTTCTACACTTATTTTCTTCAATAATTCTGAAAACGAATTCTAATTTTGGAGGCAATCAACAAAATTTTAGTCAATTTTCAGTTTTTACTCGAAAAATGTGTCCGTTTTTGTTCCAATCTCCTGAAGAAGTGCAGTCTGTAAACAGGACTATTTTGTGAATTTGTGATGAAAATAGAAAACTGGTGGTGAAAAGGTTGAAACAATTTAATTTTACAAGAACTGCATTTTGAGAAAACTAACTAATTTCTTAATTTCTTTTAAGTAAGAAGTGTACTTATAATTAAGCAAGTGTCACAATATACCTTTTGTGTAAGTTGTGCCCTACAGATGACAAATCCTACTATGATGCGAAAATGATGTAAGGTAGATGTCAAAGCAATGTTATTCCAATTACAAATGTGTTCATTTGTGTTGAATTTGATTCTTTAGAACTCAGTAAATCTCTCAAATACATTATCTTTGATCAACGAGTGCTTACAGATACTGCTTCTGTGATTGGCCGTCGCTTTACCCATTCATGTCTTAGAAATGTTCCATCAATTAGAGAGCCTGAATATAGGGACCAGTGTCTGCTGTCAATTCAGTTTTTACCACCAAAGATTATTTATAAGTTTTTGGAAATTAGTTCTATCAGTAGCACATTTGATATGTAAATGACAGAGGGATGCAATGCAATGGCTAAAATAAGTCCTTTTTTAATAATTGAATGTACAATATAAGGGGCTTCTAAATAAAGCAAAAACATTATAATATTATAGGTTTGATGTTTGAAAATGAGGTCAAAGGTCACATCCAATATTTATTAATGCAAGATTTCACTTACCACTTTACTCTTGGAGCGAATTTTGTTCAGCATCTCGTACAGTAATGTGTTGTCTTTAATCTGAAATGAAGTCGTCAAGATGGTTACAAATTTGGGTGGTAGTCAACATCTTCACAAAACTTTCCTGACCCTGATTCATTTTTCTAATCTTTTGACTTTTTGATTTGAAATTATCACTATAAAAATAAAAAGTTATCTTGAAAAATGTATTATTTTCAAAAAACAAGGTATCAGTAAGTGTGAAAACAAAGGAAATCTGAGGTCAATTTATTTTTGTTTGCATTTTAAGTCACCTGTAGCCACATACTAGTTTGATGCTTTATCTAGAAAACCAGCAATTGTTGGCATTCCATTTCGATTCAATATTCTTACAAATGAGAAATGTTAAAAAACATACTGCAGTGGATTCTCATTACTAATACAATATTCGTGTAAGAATTTGACAGGTTATCAATCCAATAAACAAGCAATGCAGTGTTTGTAAGTTGTCTCTCACCTCGTTATAAAGCTTCGTTAGCCGCTTGACCGTCAAAAACTCCCATAAACTGACACCATTCTCCATGAATAGCTTCACAAAATCTACTTGGTTATTAATGAGGGCGATATGTAAGGCTTCGTCCAAGTCACCTTGCTGAGAAAAAACAAGTGTTGTTTGGAATCATCAGAAATATACTGGTAAGTATATTCACTCTCAGTATATTCCTTGGGCATTTTAAGAACAGTAGCTTAACCATGAATAGCCAATTTAATGCCGCACTTGCACATTCAAGAAATAATGGATGTTTTTGATAGATTGAATATGCAAATTCTATAGTACCAATATTACTAAAAATACACAGAACCACGAACAAATATAATGCGAATGACTTCCACTGATGATAATAATCTTTAAAACGTTACTTTCCTGAGACTGTTCAGTAATTGGTTGTGAATCCCACTCAAATTTCCCTTTGTAAGATTATTTTAATGCCACAAAAGCTTACCGTACTAATACAGCTCTCACTACATTTTGTATGTCATCATGATTAACTAAGCGCAATACATAATGCTTCATGATATTTGTGAATTTGGCAATTACGGGAATAAAATTACAAAACGCTTTTAAAGATTTTATTTTCACTTTGACACATTTCTAAGTGGATGATCAATAGATGTATGACATTACTCATGCAATATAATGGTAAATGCAAAATAGAGAATCCTGTTTCAGCTTTAAGCATGAAACCAACGCTACCCACCTTCCACTTCTTATTGTCAGTGAATATTACACTCTTAGCGACATCAATCCTATTCCAGGATAATGCTAGTTTTAATTGGTCTTGTTCTCTGCCTTTATTAGCTGTAAAAAAGATATATAATCTTTAAAACACAAACCAGGAAAAGATTTTCCAGTTTGTAATTTACAGAATTGATGTACATCACGATTGAAAGTGTTTGCCAGTACGTAAGCCAAAGTAACTATTAGCAACCTTACAAGAACTTCTTACTCACATAAAGTACAGTATCAAACCCACCCGAGAGACAAATACAAGAATATTTACCTTTCAATAATGCTTGTAATATTGCTAGATCAATGTCTTGGGCGGAATTTTTGCCGTCCAATTCAAAAATGGTTATGTAATCTTTCCTTCGTAAACAATCTTTTACCCATCCAACCATCTTATCAAGATTATTGGAACCGAATTCTTCTTTAATGACTTGTTTCAACTTGGCTTCAAACGTGTTATTGATGATTGCTCTTTTCCTAGAAAATACAAATGATTATAAATTTATAAGCGATTGTGGTGCATCGCAGTTCCACTTTCATGTAAACAAACAATATATTTTATGCACGTCATATATCAAACGCAATAAATAGCGACAACCCTTGAACATTTCGGTGTGAAAAATTAAGCTTTGAAATCTATGCACATTCTTTTAGTTTTTCTTCTAGTATATTGTAAACTGTTTTAATTTTCAGGAGTTGGTGAAAATCACAAACTTTTGTAGCAGTTGAATTTACCTGGGGTCCCATATGTATCAGTACCTGTCACGATATTTAATTTGCCTTCATGAATGCGAAAAGAATTCCTAGCAGCAAAATTTGAATGGTTGCAGATTTTTTTTCAGATGTATGACTTACTGATTTATCAGTTTTCCCGTCAGATCTTTAACTGGTATGTCTTTCTCTGGTACATTTTCCACAGCCCATGTCAGCATGTCTGCAGCTCTGCCAGACCCAGCTACAATTACAGCCGGTGTTCCATTCATGATTGCGGACCACACGGTCTCTATCGTACCTGGACCACCCTCCAATACGACACATACAACAGGTACCGTTACGCCACTCTGACCTGCAGCAACAAAAACAAATAGTATTACTATTATAGTACATTGAGGGCGCTGTTTTATTTCTACCACATGATGTGTTCAAACTGAAACCTTATTTTCAAATTACAGACATATTGGTGCATCAGTCCATGTTGGCAACTGATAGGTTTCAGGATTACTAGTTGCTAAGCAACCAGATAAACAAAAAAATTGATATACTGTGGAATACTTTATTTTCGCTTGGAATTTATTTTCGCTATTTTTGCTGAAAGAATGATTTAGTGAAAATAAAATTCAACTTGTCAAAAATCAGTGAAAATAAATTCCATATAACACACATAAAAAGTAATTTCAGTGAAAATTAATTCCAGTGAAAATAAAGTATTTTACAGTACTTTTATTTCATTCTTTCTTTCATTGTTTTTTTAAAATAATCGGATAAAATGATCAAAATTAGGTCAAAATAAGACATAACAAGAACAGAATAAAATAAATCCAATTTTTAGTTCATGTTCGCTTCTAATTCAGCACATATGGGTAAGCAAAAACATTATGAACTCTCTTTAAAATAAATATAAAATATTTACTTACCTGCCTATGTGAGTTTTAAGTTATATAAAAGAAACACCTTTGCAAAGAATACATCAATACATGCAATTAATAGCAAAGAAACAGTGGATTACAAGTGGAAAAGAAAAGCTATGCAACTCACCAAAACTAGGAAGTGCATTGTGGGTACTGCAGGACAGAAGAGACTACATACCATACACCAAATATACACCAAAAAAGAAATTATATTGCATAATAAGCATAATAGAACTTTTACTTTTCACAGTGAAATTTGTTTTTTTCTTATAAATCTTCAAGGCCTACAAGAAATTGTTTATAACAAGCTTACTTGGTCTAAATTTGAAAAAAAGTATATAAAATGTATAAATTTTGTGAATCAAAAGTTGAGAGTGTTAATATTACAATAAGCGGAGTTATGTTTCAAGCTTAGCAAAGATTTATAAAAAAATTCAATAATAATAATAAACACTGTAAACTAATTGATTTCACAAAACAAATTATTTCTAAGGATGCAATAAATTCATTATTATATTATTATTATTATAATCAGAGAGAATCAGTGTAAATCAGACTCAGTGTAAATCAGAATCGGTGTAAATCAGAATCGGTGTAAATCAGAATCGGTGTAAATCAGAATCGGTGTAAATCAGACTCAGTGTAAATCAGAATTGGTGTAAATCAGAATCGGTGTAAATCAGAATCGGTGTAAATCAGAATCGGTGTAAATCAGAATCGGTATAAATCAGAATCAGTGTAAATCAGAATCAGTGTAAATCAGAATCGGTGTAAATCAGACTCAGTGTAAATCAGAATCAGTGTAAATCAGAATCAGTGTAAATCAGAATCAGTGTAAATCAGAATCAGTGTAAATCAGAATCGGTGTAAATCAGAATCAGTGTAAATCAGAATCAGAATTTTGTAGCAGTGACAATTTCCCTGGGGTCATACTACATGGAATGTCAGCGATCGTTGCAAACAATTTTTCTTCACAAATGCTATAAAATTATCAATTCACAAAATTCCCTAATAGTGAAAAATAAGTGGTTTACAGGAGTTAGGAAAAACAGTTTGCAAAATACAAGTTGTATTCGGTGTTAACGCAATCCTTGAAGCAATCAATATCAGTATAAAACAGAACGATCAACAAATGTGCAGATCTGAAGGACTGTCCCTTTAATGTGAATAAATAATAAATTGCAAAATAAACTACTTTATGAAAAATGTAGTTACCATATTTACTGTATTAGTTGAAGTCTAGGGTCAAAAATAAGTCATCT